TATATATATATATATTACGGTGGCCAGAGTCGGAAGGCTGAGTGAGAATAAGAGAGAGACGAGGATTTGAGAGAGAAAGTTGGGAGCATAAATGGCTACCCAAGTCGCTATCTGGGTAGTTTTATTCATTTATCTTTAGCGATGGCACATGTCTTGTTATAGGTTTTAGTGTCGTCGCTAAAAAGTACAAAAACGTTGTTCAAAATTCCTTTGATTTTGAAATAATTTGTCTAAAATTCATTGCACTGAAAAACCTTTAGTGACGACATAAAACCCCAAAAAATATTTGTCCACCGCCACAATTTTCCGCTTAAATTTTAAATAAATTTTTAGGAACAATTTTTAGTGATAACTAATGTCGTTATAAACTCTTTTGAGTGTCAAAAGTTTTTGTGCCCCCAAATTTTAAGCGAGTTAATTTTTGGCGACTACTAATGTCATCGCTAAAACCCCTTTTGAGTGCCAAAAGATTTGGTCCCACAATTTTCCGCGGGTTGATTTTCAATGATGACAAAGTGGCCCTCACATCTCACCTCTTGTTGGTTGTCCACTACATTTTTTGCGACAATATAATCATCGCTAAATCTCGTGTTATTTAATGACGACAAATGATGTCGCTATTGGTGTCATCGCTACAATAGATGATTCTTGTAGTGATTATTGTAGCGATGACTGGCATGGAAGTGAGGCTCTGGAAGGCAGATGCTCCTTCTCAATTTTTTTGTCTGATTTTTACCCTATTGTTTCTCAAATATTTTTATATACCCTCATTAACAAAACTTTTAAAATATTTCGTCTTATATGTGTACTTTTTGGTTTTTCGAATTATTCTTTTGGTCTTTTCCTATTTAGGTTTAAACTTTTACATTTACTTGATTTTTTTTTATTTCACTCTTGTTAAAACTTTTTTTTTTTAATTATCTCTTCTAAAATATTTTTTATATAATAATTATCATATCAAAAGTGAGCCTCACAAAAAAACAATGACCCGATACATTTACTTAAATATGTTCCTATTTGAACATTATTTCTTGTAACACTCTCAAGTGTCAACTACTACTTTTTTATATGTATCTCCTAAATAATTTTCTATTTGATTTGTCCGTTAAAATTTTTATTATTCAAAATATTCAACTTGTCTATATGTATATGCTATGCAACGACAAAATATGTTTTGATTAAAATGTACAGTTCAGTCCATTCTACTTAAAATATATTTCCTTTTTACGTATAAAAAAATTCAACAAACAGAACAATTTGCATGTGTGTAACGTGTTTCCTACATCTTAATGATATTAGAGCTAAATTGATCTATTTTATCCACAAGCAAATTTCACTGGCCAAATATTTGTGGGTAGCACCCAAAAGCTCTAACAGAGGATCGTGTTTTCTGAAAGTATTGACACACATGAAGAAAATGCAATAGCCACGGTAATCTTCATATCATGAATTTTCGCGCATCAATCGCGGATAACGCTAGGATGTCAGTAGTTGAAGCCTTGCAAATTTGCGATAGACTAAAAGGAGTTAAAATCAGAAAAGAAAACCAGAGTGTTAGTCAAGAAGTAGAAAACCTCGCTTTATATACTCCAAACAGGAGAATGGCAAATTCAGAATGCGTTCCACTTCTGTGGATTTGGATACAAGGGTGTCAAAGATCGTATCCCTACTAAAATTTGCATTGATCATCCCCGATCCTTTGCATACAACCAGAGACGTATTACATACCCAAGGAACTGAAACTGTAAACCCCAAACCATGCTTTTTACCTCCGGAAGAGCTTGTATTTCCCGCTAGTACGTCTTTGTATGCTCGGCCAACTTTAGAAACGTACTTTCCCATTGGCAAAATTTGCTCAAGAACAGACGGAACAGAGCCATCAGGATTCAAGAGATCAGAGTCTGAGTGAAGGTTCACCACAACAGTACCATGTTCAGGGTGAAGCTGATCATTGAGAGATTTTAAGAAAGGGGAATCCGGGTCCCATAACGCGCGAGGGAAGATGTCGTCGCCATCATATGCATCAATGAAGATCAAATCGTATAGATTGGTGGTGTCAAGAATGAACTTCTCAGCATCTGATTCATATAGGTAAAGCCTCTCATGGGTGCCTTTCCACAGAACTTCATCCAATTTACCGGGTTTTGGGAAGGCTCGATTACCTGATGGAGTCGTAACTGAGAAAGCTGGAAATCCCATCGCTTGGACTGACGCTGCTATAACAAGAGCGTCAATTTCAACTGTGTGAACAACAGCACCTGAAAGGAGCACATATTCATACAAATTAGCTTTTGTAACATTGTAAGTGTCTGCGTGACATGTTTTCACATCGTTAGGACAGGAATCAAACTGCTGTCCCAAGACACAACAAAAGCAAGCTAAGTTATATATTGTAAATCTCAGCATTAATAGGATATAATGAAAATTCGTACAAATCCAATCAAATCTTGACCCACGCAGCAGTTGACTGACAAAGACACTATTGATCTTTGCCTGTTCTACTTCTTTATTCTACACTTCATCATTTTCATCTGCCTCCCTCTTTTTTTCCCAGTCATTCACAAGAACAGATGAACGGAAACAAATTAATTTTCATAAATTTGAACACTTTTCCCTTGAACTTTGTTGAGCTCACTGCTGAGTGAAGTTCGTGATGTCTCGGATCTCAAGAGGGCCTCGGAAGAAGAGAAGGGAAGCGGGGAACGGTTAGCTAGAACTAGAGAATAAAAACAGAGAGCCAGGGTAGGGAGTCTCATCGTTGAACTTCTCTGTAATTTTCATAGACGAGCATTCGCTCTAAGGGAGTGCAAGGGGTCACTCGAACACCCCCATATCCTCTTGTATTTCCTTGATAATTACAGTTCAGATCAATTCCTTTCAATTCTTCCCTCTAATTTCTCTGATATTGTGTGAATCATCTGGTTCGGAATTTAAGTCCTAACAAAGTGGTATCAGAGCAATCCTTGGGATGGCATCGGCGAAGAGGGGGGACGAGAAAACTGAAGGAGTCCGCGAGGAGATCCAACGCGATCTAGAGGTCTTCAAAGGGGAACTGCAGGAGACCTTTCACGAGGATTTGCAGAACATCCCAAAGCTGGAGAGGAGCGTGGAGCTGATGATAGGGAAATTGGAAGAATTACTACGGCATCGTGATGGTTCTACGCCGGGAACCTCGGCGACGATCATGGAGCTTCCTTCGATTCCAACAGCGGCACCAGGAGGTGGGGGAGGAGAAGGGCGGTGGTTCGTTTGGCGGCGGCGGGCGGTTGGAAAGTTCAAACCGCGAGGTCGTGAGTCGGGGAGAGTGGCAGACAAGGCGCATGGAGATGCCGGTGTTCGATGGGGAGGAGCCCGATGGATGGATCTTTCGAGCTGAAAGGTACTTTGCTCTCAACCGCAGTGCAGAATCGGAGAAACTGGAGGTTGTCATGGTCAGCCTTGATGGCGAGGCGCTGGCTTGGTTCCAGTGAGAAGACGGCCGACGATCGATCCGGGACTGGGCGGATCTTAAGCGACTGATTTTGGAACGTTTCCAGCCGTCGCAAGAAGGGAGCCTTTACGAGAAGTTTTTGGCTCTCCGGCAAGAGTCCACTGTGCGGGAGTACCGCCGGAACTTTTAAGTGTTGGCGGCGCCACTTACTGGAGTGACCGAGCAGGTCTTGGAAGGTAGTTTTATTAAGGGGCTTAAACCTAAAATTCGGGCTGAGATCATGATGCTCAAGCCTGTTGGGTTGCGCCGAATTATGGAATTGGCCCAAAGGGTAGAAGACAGGAACCAACAGCTCAAGCCCACAAGATTGCCCATGGGCTCACACGTGTCTTGGCCTAAGAACTCGTCTCCTTCTCTTGCGACACGAAGTGGAAATAATTTCCAACTTCGACCTACACCCACCACCGAGAAAACGGGGAATGCTCCATCTGCCCCGTTCCGCCAACTGACAGACGCCGAGCTACAGGCGAAGAGAGAGAAAGGATTATGTTACCGTTGCGATGGCAAGTATTCCATAGGCCACCGCTATCCAAACAAAGAATTGCAAGTCTTGGTGGTCAGCGGAGAAGAACCAGAAGGGGATAAAACCGGCGAGCAGACGACAGAGGCGTGTGGGAGGATGCCTTGGCCGACGACTTGGTGGAGTTTTCCTTGAATTCCGTGGTGAGGTTGATTGCTCCTCGCACGATGAAGCTCAAGGGAGTGATTAAGGGGGAGGATGTGGTAGTCTTGATTGACAGTGGGGCAAGCCACAACTTCATTTCCATGGACTTGGTAAAGAAGTTGGGTTTGGAGTTGGATACCACCGGCGGCTATAGGGTGGTGATGGGTACCGGTCTCATGGTCAAAGGTGAAGGGGTGTGTCGTGGGGTGGCCTTGACCATGCAGGACGTGGCCATTGTGGAAGATTTCCTCCGTTGGAGCTTGGGAGCACCGACGTGATCCTTGGTATGCAGTGGTTGGAGACACTCAGGGCCGTGGCGGTCAACTGGCGGGCTCTCTCGATGAAGTTCAAGATCGGCGAGACCCCGGTGGCATTGCAAGGAGACCCCAGCCTCGGTAAGTCTCCAGTGTCCTTAAAAACTATGATGCGGGCTTTGAAGCAAGATGGATAGGGGTTCTGGGGGGAATTGGACACGTTTTCGGTTGAGCCCCAGCCAGGGGTGGTGTCAGCGGAGGCAATGCCAACCGCCCTACAATCGGTGCTACAATGACATGCTGGGGTTTTTCAAATGCCGTCCGGCCTCCCTCCACCACGGCTGCGAGACCACGCCATTCCACTAAAAGTAGGAACCTCTCCAATCAGTGTCCGGCCATACCGGTATCCGCAGGCGCAAAAGAGCGAAATTGAGAAGCTGGTTGGGGAAATGCTCGCCGCAGGAATTATACAACCAAGCGTTAGCCCCTTCTCCAGCCCGGTTCTACTCGTTAAGAAGAAAGACGGGAGTTGGCGATTTTGCGTCGACTATCGGGCCTTAAACCACGAAACCGTACCGGATCATTTTCCGATTCCAATAATCGACGAGCTCCTTGACGAATCACACGGTGCCACCATTTTTTCAAAGATCGATTTAAAGTTGGGTTATCACCAAATTCGGGTGCGCAGCAAGGATGTGCCGAAGACGGCTTTCCACACCCACGAGGGGCACTACGAGTCCTTGGTCATGCCTTTTGGGCTTACCAATGCCCCGGCCACATTCCAGTCTCTCATGAACGAAGTATTTCGGCCCTTTCTCCGGAAATTTGTGTTGGTATTTTTTGATGATATCCTAGTGTATAGCCGAACGATGGACGAGCACGCCAAGCATTTAGAGATTGTGCTTGCCGAGCTAGCTAAGCACAGCCTCTATGCGAATGCAAAAAAATGCTACTTTGGGCAATCCACGTTGGAATATGTGAGAAATTGTGAATGAAATTTTCATTAATTTCTAGTTCAATATTACAACCAATAAATAGGATTACAAGGAAAAACATAAAACTAGAAACTACCTAAAATAGGAAACGGTGAATGAATACCAAATCCTCTATTCTAGGAAACTAATCACAATTAATTTACAGCTAGCACTACTCTATAAATCAGAGAAGATCCGGAGAGATCACAAAGAATCCGGATTTCCACACTCCCCCTCAAGCTAGGTTGTAGATGTTGAGCAATCCTAGCTTGGAATTAAGTTCATAAAAAAACTTCCTGGGTACGGCCTTAGTTAGAATATCTACTATTTGTTGAGTGGTTGGAATGTATTGGAGTGATATCGTTTCAGCCTCTATCTTCTCTTTGATAAAGTGTCTGTCAATCTCGACATGCTTTGTCATGTTGTGATGAACTGGATTCTTTGCTATGCTAATAGCTGACTGATTGTCGCATGACACTCTCATAGGTTTTGTAATGGGAATCTTTAGTTCACAAAGTACCCTCTTCAACCACATTCCTTCACAGATACCATGAGCTAGTGCCCTGAACTCTGCCTCCGCACTGCTTCGAGATAGTACTGGCTGCTTCTTGCTTCACCATGTAACTAGGTTACCCCAGACATATGTACAGTATCCGGAAGTTGATCTTTTGTCTGTAACAGACCCAGCCCAATTTGTATCAGTGTAGATCTCAATCTCCCTCCTTTCAGACCTTTTATTGAATAATCCTTGACCTGGTGTCATTTTTAAGGATCTCAGGATCCTGTATACTGCCTCCATGTGTTCTTCTGTTGGGTCATTCATAAATTGGCTCACCATACTAACAGCAAAACTAATATCCGGTCTAGTGTGGGAGAGATAAATAAGTTTCCCAACTAACCTTTGATACCTTTCCTTTGTCAACTAGTGCACTGTCATCCTTTCTTCCCAGTTTTATGTTGGGATCCATAGGAGTGTCAACAGGCTTGGATCCAAGCATCCCTGTTTCGTTCAACAAGTCCAACACATACTTTCGCTGAGAAACTGAAATTCTCTTTCTGGAACGAGCTACCTCCATTCCTAGAAAGTACTTAAGTGTCCCCAAGTCCTTGACCTCAAATTCCCTTGCTAGAAAACTCTTCAGTTTGGTTATTTCTTCCAGACTATCTCCAGTCAGAATTATATCGCCCACATACACGATGAGGATTGTCTTTTTTTCCAGAGGCTGTATGTTTGACGAACATAGTGTGATCTGTCTGACATTGATCATACCCAAATCCTTTTACAGCTTTAGTGAACCTGTCAAACCATGCCCTTGGTGATTGCTTTAGGCCATATAGCGACTTTTTGAGTTTGCACACTTTGTTGGATGTTGTTCCACTCTCAAATCCTGGTGGTATCTCCATGTACACTTCTTCTCCTAAATCCCCGCTAAGGAAAGCATTCTTCACATCAAGCTGAAATAGCGGCAAGTCTAGATTGGAAGCAAGAGAAAGTAACACCCAAACTGTATTAAGTTTTGCAACAGGGGCAAAGGTCTCCTGGTAATCAATTCCGTAAGATTGAGTAAACCCCTTAGCAACAAGTCGAGCCTTAAATCTGTTTATACTGCCATCAGCATTGTGTTTGACTGTGAAGATCCATTTACAACCAACCGGGCGTTTGTCTGTTGGTAACTCCAATATTTCCCAAGTTCCATTCTTTTCAAGTGCCTGAATTTCTTCCAAAATAGCTCCCTTCCACTCTGGTACTTTGAGTGCTTCATGTATTGAGCTCGGAATCTGTATTTTGTCAAGATTGCTAACAAAGGCACAGTGACTAGGTGACAATCATTTATATGACACAAAATTGTAAATTGGATGATCAGTGCATGACACC